AAATAATGACCAACTTCTAAATAAGGCTATGGACACCTGCCACAGGTCAACATCACGAGAATTGGACCACCACTTACACTATTTGACTAGTTTAGTAGTAGAAACTAAAGACGAAATTATCACGAGAAAGAATGATATTATTAAGGGAAAAAAATATAATTAGACAATATTTAAGAAATAACTTCAGAATCTTAGAAGGAATTAGTAACTAATAAATTTGGCAGTTAATTAATTATAATCATAACCGAAACCTATAATGCTGGACCAAAAATCACGTTTTCATATTTGTGAACAGTTCCAATCAAACAAAGGATTCTTTGTTTAAATTGCCTAGACTGTGTTTGATATAATAATGGAAAATAGAAATTTTAAGAGGAATCTGTTAGGGAGGAACTTTCATAGAAAAATGGTAAGTTTAGATTAGTGACTAGAGAGAAATATGGATAAATTAATATGGTTCAAAATTAATTCCTTAAATTGTGGATTATGTTTTAAAATTTGAAGACCATACTAACAGCTTGTTTGGATGGTTGTTACACACGTTTCATAATTTATCGTATCGTATCGTATCGTATCGTATTGTATTGTATTGTATTGTATTGTATTGTACTGTACTGTACTGTATCGTTTGATGAATACAATATTTGGATAGATTGTATCATTTGTTGTTGTTTCATGATATCACACACCAACAATATGAAGAATAAACTTGCAATATTATAAAAAATAATTATGATACGGGGTAAATCTATTATATAAAAAGGTAAGGTAAATGATAAAATAAAATTATTTAATAATAATGAAGGGTGAGATGAGAGAAAAAGACAGGATAACGACGCAACCACATTAAATTGGTTATTACATAAAGTGGCACATTTCGTCGTTATGTAACGACGGATTTAACGATACGATACAATAAAATTTAAGTAACAACCAAAACAAATATCGTATTTAAAGTAACAATACCATACAATACAATAGGTAACAACCATCCAAACAAGTTGAAAAAGTAAATGACCTTTAAAAAATGCGGTATAATTGTAAATGAACGTGCTACTTTTGGAATAAAGCAAAAGTAATATTACTAAAAACAAGAGAAAGGGGAATTATTTGTCATGCGCAATCCAAATAAGAGCAGGTAGGTGGTGGTGCATAATGCAGCTTCCCGAACTCGTGATACCCATGTGAATTGGCTCCATCAATTAAGAAGGAAAATCTACGCCTCAAAATAAAATCGAAAAAAATATTTTTTATATATAATTAGTATATATATTTATATATTTAACTAGCGATTGTAATTAATTTTAATCGATTAACTAAATTTGTTAAAAGTAAAATGATACAGAAGTATTTTCTTAAATCAGGTCGAAATTGATGTGCTGAACTTTAAGAATCTACTTTGAGTTTTGACACGATAGTCTTAAATTAACGACATCCAAAAAGAATTACGTAGCTTGTTACTCTGCTTCAATCTATGCGGTACTGTTAATTTAGGGACTTAAAGAAATTTTTCTTTGAACATAATATTTTAAATATATTTTCATGATGGATCTTCGGTGGTACAAATTTGAATTAAGTGTAATCGATGAGTTTTGAAAATCAGATAATTGAATCAACTATTGTGAGTTATAACACGTCTTGTGTAATATTTAAATATAAATTTTTTTATTTCAATAAACATGAAAAACTTCTGTCTAAATTCACTTCACTTGAAAACTAAATAGTATGATCGTCATACTCCAAACTCTACCACGTGAAATAGAACGCAGGGATAATTTACAGGATATTCTAAATAAGATAATAGGAACGCCGGCAGCCCCTTACCTGGCAGACTAGAACCAAGTGCCATACCAGTTGGCAGTTGCTTTTTGTGCTTTTCTTTTCGATTCTCAACCAAGAGGCTGTGAGTTCGAGTCACCCAATAGCAAGGTGGAAAGTTCTTGGTGGCAGGGAGCCAATGGTTTATCGGAAACAGCCTCTCTACCCCAGAGTAGGAGTAAGGTTTGCGTACACATTATCATTTTCATACCCCACTAATGAGATTATACTGAATTGTTGTTGTTTTTCGACTCTCCAATTACCAATCTAATTTTACAACTTAAATTACTAAAATAACATTGTTTCTATAGTCGTCTTAAAAAGAATGTTAGCATCATTCAAGCAACCAGAGTGAATGCATCTGTATTCTATATGTAAATCTGAACATCAATTTCTTAATTTTATAAACTAAGTTTTACATTTTAGAGACTTCATAAAAACTACTATAAATAAACAAATTTTATAGCTAATAATATCAAAAAATGTTTGGAAAAATTATAGTTTAAAAAAATTGTTTCATACTGCAATACTGCTATTGGCCAAACTCGTGGCAAGTGAGGACCATGCGAATAGTTGAGAGAAGAAACAATTTTGGAATTAAGTCATATGCATATTAGAATAAGTCAAAATTGACAGCCTGAATCGCTGACAAGATGGTATTTTAACAAGTATTAAACTGTAATTCCAAGAAAATATGATATATTGTGCAACTTCCCAAACATTTGATACTTATTAGAGTCAGATCCAACATTTTAGCACTTCCGCACTAGGGGTGCTTATCGGGCGGATAATTACGTTTAACGGTTCGGCTTATCGGTTATCAGATTATAAATGTAGTAATCCGCTAGCCATCCAATAAGATAACAGGCAGATTGATATCGAATTGACAATTACCAGGTGGTTTATCGGCTAAACCAAGTAATTTTTTTTTGAACAATGAATATCAAACGGCCAAATGCATAGTTCAAACTGTCTCTGTTAGTTGTAGTAGCTTTTCCTGATTAGACGACTGCCAATGCCATTAGCTACAGACAGACGACAGTTCTATTGACAATTAGAAGGGATTTAGCCATTTAGGTTTTAATAGTACTTTATATACATAGAGGTAAAAGTATAAATAAAAAAATTCTTAACGGGTTAACGATTTACCCGATAAGAAAATTGAGGAATCCGCCCCCAAACTGTTAAGCCGTTAATTCTCAATCCGTTCACCATTCATTACTACGATAATCCGATACCAATAAGCCATCAGTTCGGTTCGGTTAACGATTTCGGTTCGGTTTTGAACAGCCCTATTATGCACTACTCCCTCCGTCTCATATTAACAATCGTGGTTACTAAAAATAGTTGTCTCAAATTATTTGTCATTTTGTAAGTTCAAGACAAAATTGATTATATATTTTTTTTTTTACCCTTACCAATAATTATCCTAGAAAATTACAATCACCTTAAGTATGGATAATTTTAATCAAAAACCAAGAAGTCAACCTTATTATCTTAAACACTTTAACCATATTTACACTAATACAATCAATACTGTAAAGACCGAAATTCTTTATAAAGTCTATTTCAAATGGGAGTAAAGTAACTTTCAAGTTGAATTTTTTGGCTCCGGAATAATTTTAGTTGGAAAATTTTCAAATCACTCGTTTGAAAATATTTTGAAGGAAAGATGAATTCCATTTCATGCAATATCTGTTGGAAGAGTTAATTTTACTAATTTGTTAATTTTGTCCTAGATGTCTCTAAGCAAATCAATTGCATTCACATTTAGTAAAAATATGAATAATGTCATTGATGGAGATGACACATAAATTGAGAAAATATTCAATGAAAAAATATTAAATATTAAGATATGAATAAGGGTAAAATAATTAAAATCTCATCCTAACTATTTTTTCTTAAGTGCGTGCATAAGAGAATCATGACACATAATATGAGACAGAGTGAGTACTATTTTATAAGATATAGACCTAAAAACTCTTTTATTGTCGTCTTTGGATAGTTATTTTGCATTTTGTTTCATTTATAGTTGCATCATTTGGACCACTGTTTTATTCCCTTGAAAAAGATGTTTAACATGGTTCTATTTAATAGAGCATAAGCAAAAGCTATGAGATAGTTCATCTTGTAATTGTTTATTTCTTGTATCCCTTCTTAATACATCTCAACTTTATGTCTTTGAAAATAAAATATCCTCTTAATGATTTCTTATTTAAAAGTTACAAGTGTATTCTATCATTTTTCACGATTGGATAACATAAACAATTTTTATGATCTACATTGAGTATCGCTAGTTATATTATACAATATAAAAGAAAATCATTACTCTTTTCGTCATACGAAGAAGGGTGATTATCAACAAATGATAGTGAATGCATTTGATTTTTATTATAGATATTACCGTCAATATCTTCCTTTTTGAAATAAATACTTATTTAAAATTTCATACATATACTCCTATTATATTTTAAATTTTTATAGTTTCTCAAAAATAATTTGGTATGATAGATAATAATTAAAATGAAACAGAAGCAATATTATTTATTAATAAAAGAGAGAATTGACGGTAATTAAATAATAGACTTATTGCAGTACATCTTAGATGTGCGAAATTTAATTTCTAGAGAATCCTCCAACCTTTTCTCTTTCTCTTGTGCTTTACCTAGAGGTATCATCGGTCCAATTCGATCAGTTATTTAAAAAATATGCTATTCCAACTTTTCAGTTTATTTACTATGTATAATTATCCCAATCGTCTCAATTTCTTTTTTATTTCAGTTTGATTCGTGTACTTTTAATATATTATTTTTAAAAATAAAACAATAATACTAATATTACTAAAATACTCATTAGCTACCTAAAATAGCAAGATCGATATATCATAAAAATTATAGTGTAATAGATCTTGGCAATGTTGATCATTTTGATTCATCCTTTTCTCATTTAACTAAAAAATATATGGAGAAACTAAAAATCCAAAACTTATATAGTGTAGAGGGAAAAAATTCAAAAGGATATTGTAAAGTTACAAATTTTATTCGGAATAAATCTCTACTATTTTATTTGTTGCACTTTTGTTTTTTGATAATTTGTTACACTTTAAAAATAAGAAAAATGGGAAAAATTAATTTAAGGGAAAGAAGTAAATGAATAATCTAAAAGAAAAAGAGAGCCAGGTGATTGGTGGCTGGCGCTTACTGCTGGAGTCTGGACTGCTCTCTACTCCGTGCAACTTCTATGACTCTCCCATTTTAATTCAGAGAAATACGGCGCTGGTTTTTCCTATATATTATACACATATAACTTCCTAGTGTTTAACGACCCACAGATCTCCTTCTTCTCTGCAAATTAACCAACACACACACACACACTCTCTCTGAAACAATGAGCGATCTCAAGTCCAAGTTTTTGGATGTGTACGCTGTCCTCAAATCTGAGCTGCTTAATGACCCAGATTTCGAATTTACTGATGATTCTCGTCAATGGGTCGACAAGGTATTGCTTTTTCTTTTGTCTTTATGTGAATGTAGATCCATTTGGTGCATTACATTACATGTGTTATGTTTCTGCTGATCAATCTTGCTTAATTGCTTTTCTTGTTTCATTCTCATTTTCTGTCTCATTCATAAAGGCGTTTGTTATGGATTTTAGAAAAAATATGCCACCAACAAGAAGGTTGAAAATAGGATTGATAACTCTCAAATTTTATTAATCATAGGGCTTTAAATACCCAAATAAATAAAGCAGTAGACTCCTCCTACAACTAAATTACTAAACTCTTACTATAATTAAAATTCTGAATCTTCTAGCAGACTTCTCCTAAAACTAAACAACTAATTATTCTAGAAAACAGTAGTAGTAACAAATGCAAAATCCAACAGCTACTTTGATTATTGGCTCATCAAAACTAAAAGCAAACAAATGGATGCAAAGATCAAATTTTGACTAGTCTTAAGTAAGATGGAATTAAAGCTAGAAAAGTTTTTATTTTTATCTTGTCTCAGCCAAATGATTTGGTATATATATTAATTTCAGAGGATAAATCAGCCTCAGTCAACATAGCATAGATACTAGAATGTATATATAAATGGAGCTTGTTGTAATTTTCCTCAAGCTTGAATTTAGTCCAAACATCCACTAGAAACATGCTTGAAAGCAGAAATTACGATGTTCTTCAACATTTCATTACTCTAGAATCTATGCATTTTTGCTTGTTGTTTATGCTCGCCTGTGGGGGTGGAGTATGCTTGATAACCACCTTTCATATAGTGTTGGTTCAACATGTATTATCTTCTGATGCATTTGGCAATGCAAGCTTGTTGGTTTTTCTTGTGTATGTAATTAATTGTCAGTTCAGTACTGCTGATGTGGTAATTCTGTACCTTCATTTCGGTTATTCAATTTGTGGTTACCCTGAGGCTCAGCTTCTTTTCATTTTATTCTTTTGGAACTATTAAATTTTTTGAACCGTCTATATCTCTCATTATCTTCATTTTTACATGTCTAATTGTTACTTTTATTGATTTGTCTCAGATGTTGGACTACAATGTGCCTGGAGGTAGGACTGAATTTCTCCATTTAACTATTCTAAAATTTTCTACTTCATTTACAGTCTTTGATAGCTTAAGAATTTCTTCCAGCGGCTTTATAATAGCATACTGTCTATGCAGGGAAGCTTAATCGGGGGCTCTCTGTTATTGACAGCTACAGTTTGTTGAATGATGGGAGAGAACTAACTAGTGAGGAAATCTTTCAAGCATCTGCCCTTGGCTGGTGCATTGAATGGGTATGCAAAATAAATACTCTTAAATTTGTGGCTGACTCTGAATTCTTTGGTGACCCCAATAAATATAGTTTTAGTTCCGTATTTCTTCTTTTCAAGCGTGTGATTGGTGCAATGTATGTTGCAGCTTCAAGCATATTTCCTTGTTCTTGATGATATAATGGATAACTCTCATACACGTCGAGGTCAACCATGCTGGTACAAATTACCAAAGGTGTGGTCCCACACAAAGAGATTACTTGTTTGTTACTCATCGTATTTTTTCTTTTCAGTCGGTGATTTCTTGTTTCAATATTTCTTATAGGTTGGCATGATTGCTGTTAATGATGGCATACTTCTCCGCAACCACATCACGAGAATTCTGAAGAACCACTTCAGAGCAAAGCCTTATTATGTTGATCTTCTCGATTTGTTTAATGAGGTAGGATTCTTTGCACACCAAAAGGCCTTTGAATTAAACCTTATATAATGCTGACCTTTTGCTTTCTCTCTTTTGCTTTGGGGACGTATCCTGACAGGTTGAGTTCCAGACTGCCTCTGGACAAATGATAGATTTGATCACAACACTTGTTGGAGAGAAAGATTTATCAAAGTACTCATTGCCTATGTAAGGAGACATCTTCAAGACTTTTACAATATTTCTGCTTTCAGTATTTCTTGCGTGATTTAACTTTGATAATGATGTGATTACATGCAGTCATCGCCGGATTGTCCAGTATAAAACTGCTTATTATTCATTCTACCTCCCAGTGAGTATAAATCTTCCTTTCTATTTGTGCTATTTTGATAATAATGTGATTACATGCGTTCACAGTTTTTTGTGCTATTTTGAGAATGATTCCATGTCTATTATGTTTCTAAGCACTTGCTTCGTAGTTCTTTGAACATGGGGAACCATTATGTTTGTTGATTTGAGGTTGATGTTCTCTTAAAACATTCAAAGTTCTGAATCTTCTTCGAATTATATTAACTATATGCAATTTTCGGAAAGTCATAGCAAAGTTTCTTATTTTGATGTCTTTCTGAGTTAACTTAGAAACACCTTTCAATTTTTTTTCTATCTCCTCAAGATCTAAACTACAGCTACTATTACTTCGAATCATAATTGCTGCTAACTTTGTGTTTAATTATTCTGGTCCTTTTTGCAAAAGTTGTCTGTTAAGAATTATAGAATGAGCATGTTTAATTTGCATATAAGCTATATCCGGAGTACTCACGGTTATGATTTCCAGGTGGCATGTGCACTTCTAATGGCAGGAGATAATCTTGACAAACATGTTGATGTCAAGAACATACTTATTGAAATGGGAATCTATTTTCAAGTCCAGGTGAGAATTATAACTACTCCCTGATAACTTCCTTCGCATTTAAAGTTCTATATTTTATATTTGAAGAATCATATTCAATTGGAAATTGACCTTTGATGAGCAAAGTTAGACATTCACCATGAACAGAAGGACAATTTACTTCTTTTTTTCTCAACATGGATTATGCTTTTGAAGTTTCACGGCTGTAGTCTGACCTTGCATCTCATTGGGAAAAAGGAAGGAAAAAAAAAAGCCAAATAAAAACGGAAAAGATGTTGCTTTAAATATGGCCTAAATTCAAATCACAAAAGAATGTAGTCTATTTTCTGAAAAAGCTTGAGAAACATCGAGCGCCATGTAGTCAAACTGTGAAAAGAAATTTGTATGTGGTCAGAATTATGAATGTGGTTTCCAACACAGTGGCCTTATGAAATATACATATGATTAGTTCCCAATATACCAAAGACCTCATTGACAAAACTCAGTTTCAGAACATCTATGATTTCGTGCTACCGATTCTCACTAGTAGCTTTCTTGACTTTGTAGGATGATTATCTGGACTGTTTTGCTGACCCAGAGGTGCTGGGTAAGGTATGTTGTAAAGGAAGCTCATAGTAAAAAACTCCTTTAAAAATATTCAGAAAGCTATTTTAATTTGAAAAAAAATTAGAAATCTTATGATGACCTCCTTTTGCTATCAGATTGGCACCGATATTCAGGATTTCAAGTGCTCTTGGTTGGTAGTGAAAGCTCTAGAACTCTGCAACGAGGAGCAAAAGAAATTATTATATGTAAGCTCATAACTTCTTTTCCCTTTGTTTGTTTCTATCACCACTTAGTTCTATTTGAAAATGCTAATTAGAAGAGCTTGTTTTGCAGGAGAACTATGGAAAAGACGACCCTGAATGTATTGCTAAAATAAAGGCGCTTTATAATGATCTCAAACTTGAGGTATTCCACCTTTTTCCCTAGCTTCATAGTTTCGATTTCTATCTGCTCTTATTTAACTCAAAGGTTTTTTAGTCATTGTTTCTCTTCTCTTAGCAAGTGGTCAATCTCACTTGACGCCGAACTTCAGCTTTTAATCATACTCTTCGGAATCTTATAGGAAGTATTTCTGGAATACGAGAAGAAATCGTATGAAAAGCTGACAAGCTCCATTGCAGCTCATCCAAGCAAAGCAGTGCAAGCAGTGCTACACTCATTCTTGGGAAAGATATATAAGAGGCAGAAGTAGGAAATAAACTAATTCGTCAATTTCAAGAGTCTATTGTTGACAAGTATTTGTGTTCTCCCAATGGGGATGACATGTCTGTATTTCATGCATTTTTCTGCTTTCTTGTATGGCTTTCTGGTCTCGTGTTTCTTATTTTGACAGATTGATGATGTATTATGATTTTCCAAGAAATGCAAACTCTACCCTTTTTCACCTTCAATAATTAGTACACATTTGGCGAAATAGACCAATGAAATCTTTTACTACTCTGCTCTGTCATTGTTGCTTGACTGCCCTTAGCATCATTGCTTCGATGTAGCCAATGTTCTAATTAAAATTTGAAGTACTGGGAACTGTAAGTTTGGAATTATCTCTTATTATTTGTTTACCATGATTGTTCTTAAGAAGAAAAAAGACAAAGATAAACCAACTTTTAGACCCAGAACATATTAAGAAACAAACTTAACGAAAATTTACAAAAGAAAGTCTAATCCTTTAAAAGAATCCTATGAAGAGTCATGGAATTAGAGAGTATAGGAACTGAAACCTCTGCTGTAATGAAATGAGAAGTGACTATTCCCACACTTCCGTTGGAGGATGCATTATTTGTTCTAACTACAAGTCTACAACCAAAAGTTCTCATTTTTGCAATCATAGAGGACTATCTGTGGTTATGTTGTACTATAATATCAATTTAGACGTACCTCCAAACATGAGGAATCATTGACGGAGGCGGATGCCCCGTTGTACTGCAAGTTCAATCGAATTCATTATTTTTGACACAAAAATATTTTTTTTATATAAAGTCATTAATATTACAATAAATACTAAATCTGAACTCATAAATTTAAACTTCATTTAATACTAAACCTTAATGTTAGATTCATCAAATTTATAACGAGATGTTTCATGTTATCGTTTTATTCAATTATTATAAAAATATTGGACATGGGACAAATACCTTATTGTCCCCAAGGAAAAACAAGCTAAGAGATATATAGAGAAAGAGAGAAGAGATTCTTATTTCTTCTTCAATTGTGTGTATTTTCCTATCTATTACAAGACATAATTGAGTCGTGTTTGTTCTATGAGTGTTCAACTACGTATTGTATTGTGGTTAATTGAAAGGGTCCTTGATTAATCGTGTCTAGTTATCTTGTGTTGCTTGAAAAAGAACACTTGGTTAGATTGTTATTGAACAATACCACTTTTGGGTAAGTTAAGAGATTAATTACTTGAATTTAAAAGTGGGGTTAGAATCTGAGTTGCATAAATTGTTAACTAGAGTAGTTCGAGAGAATGCTTCTAGTAAATTATCGTAATTGATCGAGAGATAATTACGGTAGCCCGGAACTCATAATCCTCATAGAGTATTACGGCGAGATTATAGCTAAAGAGTTAAGAATTAATCCGGCAATTGGGGAAATCAATAGCCCTAGATCCTTTTACCTTTGAATTTAATTTTAGTCTTGATTATTGCTAATTTTATTGTCATTTTTCCTTAGCTAAATAAATTTCACTGATTATTCATAAAACTCTTGCATCCGAAAGTTGTCTGAGCTTATTATTAGCATTATTTAAAGTTGTAGTAAATAGGTTAGTTCCCTATGGGATTCGACTCCGGACTTGAACCGGGTTATATTTGCAGCGACCGCTTAGTCTTTTTTACAAGGCATAGTTGGGCGTGATCAAATTTTGGCGCCGTTGCCAGGGAACTAACGGTGTTATTTATTACAACTTAGAAGAATTGCTAGGATTCTTAGTTTAGATCAATTTCTTACGGTGTTTAAATTTTTCCATTGAAATTCTCACGTTTCAATTCTCCCGTGACTCAGGTTTATGCCTAGAAGCTCTTCGAGGACCGGTGAACGTTTTGAAGGTCTCTCAGACCCCGAGAAAGCATTCAGGGTATTAAATCGAACCAACAAGAAGAACAAACAGTTACAACAAAAACACACACTCGAAATTGTATGGACAACGTGGACGATGTCAACGGAAATAATCGAAATAATCGGGTTGACCCAAACAATGGAGTGGTGGCACCTCTTGTGCCAGAAGCCGCTCTTTATGATTGGGCACAACTAACTACTGATAACCTGGCTACTGCTATTGCTGCACCTCAAATACAAGCGGAGAGATTCCAGATCACCAACAACATGCTGCATCTGTTGCAAAATAAGGGACTGTTATCCGGGTCATACATTAAAGACCCACAACAACATCTGAAGAATTTTCTATCAATATGTGTGACCCAAAGACAGTCGAAGGTGACTCCTGAAGCCATCAAACTATTACTGTTTCCATTCTCTGTGACTAGAGAGGCCCAAACTTGGCTGAATTCGCTCCCAATAAACTCCATTGCCACTTGGGAAGAATTAGTCAAATAGTTCTTAAACAAGTTTTATCCTCCAAACAAGACTGCAAGTCATGTTGATGAGATATTGCAGTTCAGGCAGAAACCAACTAAGACCTTGCAAGAAACTTGGGAGAGGTTCAATAGTATGCCAGTGAAGTGTCCACACAATGGCATTCCAGATCAGATGCTGTGACAGAGATTCTACATGGGTTTAGCAGACAGTTTGAAGGCCAATGTAGATGCTTCAGCTGGGGGTGCATTTTTGAGCAAGACATTCACAGAGTGCAAGATTCTTCTTGACAAGATGGCTCAAAATTCAGGCTGGATGACTAGAGGTACAACATTTACACCAATAGTGCATTCTGTTGCTCTTGACCCAAACAATTCCCATGCAGAGAACATAGCCACTCTCATGACTCAGATGAGCATACTGACAAAGAAAATTGATGACATGGGTACAAAGAAAGTGCACATTGCTGATACAACAAATGGAGGATTGTGCACTCCTTGCATAAACCAGCCATATGTGTGCTCGTGGAGTGGAGAGAATGACAACCAGGGCTTCATAGAAGACATGAATTATGTCAATAATTTTGGAGGTCAGAGGCAAGGTGGGTAACAATGGGGACCAGTACCAAACCAACAGTACAGACCCAAACTGCCACAACACAACCCCAATTCTAGAGGCGCACGACCACAAGGTCAAATTCTGCCTTATCAAAGGCAGCAGGGCTAAAATTAGCAGCTCCAGTAACAGTTGGCCTACCAACCACCTCATCAACAACAGGACAACAACATGGTAGAAATCAGGGGCAAGCTGCAACAACCCATTGGAACAAATGGTAAGATGGAAGAAAAGTTAGCAGCACATGATTCAGCAATCAAAGGCATTGAAACTCAACTGGGACAACTGTCTATGTCCTTGAACAATCGCCCCCAAGGAACATTGCCTGCAGATACAAATATTAACCCAAAGGAGCAAAACCCAAATCAGCTAATGGTAGTGAGTCTCAAGAATGGAAGCAATTTAGACAGAGAGCAAGCAGTTGCTCAATCTAGGAGATAAACTATGCCAACTACTCCAGTTACATTAGAGGCAGATGGGTCAGCAGAGCTCACCGAGGTGGTAGTTGAACAGGCACATGTTGACAAGGGTAAGGCAAAAGAAGGTGAACAAGTCTCAGAACAGGTGGCACCTCTTGTGCCAGAAGCTTCCAACAAAGAAAAGACATCAAGTATTGGACAAAGGTTGACTCCTGCACCATTCCCTCAGAGATGGCAAAATAAAAGAAAGATGATCAATACAGGAAATTCATGGAAATGCTTCGATAGATTCAATTGAATATTCCACTGATGGATGAGTTTAGGGAAATGCCAGGGTATGCAAAAATGATGAAGGACCTGATGCCGCGAAAATTTGACTTCCAGGACCTGTCCACTGTAACTCTGACACAGACCTGCAGCGCGGTAGTGACAAGACCTATGGCCCAAAAGGTGTCTGATCCAGGTAGCTTCACTATCCCATGCACTATTGGGAGTTATGCTTTTGCTAAAGTATTGTGTGACTTGGGAGCCAGCAAAAACTTGATGCCCTTGGAAATCTATACAAAACTGGGCATTGGCAGAGATAGAATGACCTCAATGTTGCTGCAACTGGCTGATCGCACAGTCAAAAGACCGACAAGAATTCTCGATGATGTGCTTGTGCAAGTGGGGAAATTTGTATTTCCTGCAGACTTTGTTATTCTTGACTGTCAGGTGGATGAAGAGATACCCATCATTCTGGGAAGGCCATTCTTAACCAATGGGAGAGCATTAATTGGTTGTGAGACTGGAGAGTTAAAAATGAGGTTGAACAATGAAGAAATAATATTCAACGTTCAACAATCCATGAGGAGACCCAGTGAATTTGCAAACTGCTCACTAGTGGAGGCTGTGGATGTGATACTGCAAGAAGAGAATGAGACCCTTAATGTCAAGGATCCACTAGAAGCCTGCTTGATGAATTTGGAAGAGATGGATAGTGAAGGGTTGGCAGAGTGGGTCATGGCTCTCGAAGGTCAAGGATTCTAGAAAAGGGAACCTCAGTTCGAGCCCCTACGCTTAGAAGAGAGAGCAACACCACCTGCAAAACCATCAATAGAGGAGCCACCACAGCTGGACTTGAAACCGCTTCCAGCCCACCTCAGGTACACTTTCTTGGGGCCTAATTCTACTTTGCCTGTTATTATATCATATGGTTTGCTAGCTGTGCAGGTAGAGCAACTATTGCAGGTATTGTAAGAATGTAAGACTCTCATTGGTTGGATCGTGGCAGACATAAAAGGTATCAGCCCAGCCTTTTGCATACACAAGATTCTTCTGGAAGAGGGGCACAAACCTTCCAGGGAACATCAACGACGACTGAACCTGAATATGAAGGAAGTAGTAAAGAAGGAAGTGATTAAGTGGCTGGATGCGGGTATCATCTTCCCCATCTCTGATAGCAACTGGGTCAGTCCTGTCCAATGTGTGCCGAAAAAGGGAGGAATGGCGGTCGTACAAAATGAGAATAACGAGTTGATCTAGACTCGTATAGTCACGGGGTGGCGGATTTGCATGGACTATCAGAAACTGAACACAACCACTAGAAAGGACCATTTCCCCTTGCCTTTCATTGACCAAATGTTAGACAGGTTAGCCGGGCGGTCCCACTTCTGTTTCTTGTATGGATACTCGGGGTATAACCAGATCTCAATAACCCCATAATACAGAGAGAAAACATCCGTCACTTGCCCATATGGCATCTTTGCCTTTCAGAGAATGCCCTTTGGACTTTGCAATGCACCAGCTACATTCCAGCGGTGCATGTTAGGCATTTTCACTGACATGGTGGAGGATATTATGGAG